TGTTTGAGACAGTGAGAGACACGGGGAGACACGGGGGAGACACGGGGAGACACGGGGAGACACGGGGAGACACGGGGAGACACGGGGAGACACGGGGAGAGTTACAGCAGCGAGCACGCCGTGTTTGAGACAGTGAGACACACGGGGAGACACACGGGGAGACACGGAGAGACACGGGGAGACACGGGGAGACACGGGGAGACACGGGGAGACACGGGGAGAGTTACAGCAGCGAGCACGCCGTGTTTGAGACGGTGAGACAGTGAGACACACGGGGAGACACGGGGAGACACGGGGAGACACGGGGAGACACGGAGACACACGGAGACACGGGGAGAGTTACAGCAGCGAGCACGCCGTGTTTGAGACGGTGAGAGACACGGGGAGACACAGAGACACGGGGAGACACGGGGAGACACGGGGAGAGAGACACGGGGAGAGAGACACGGGGAGAGAGACACGGGGAGACACGGGGAGACACGGGGAGAGACACGGGGAGAGACACGGGGAGAGTTACAGCAGCGAGCACGCCGTGTTTGAGACGGTGAGAGACACGGGGAGACACGGGGAGACACGGGGAGACACGGGGAGAGACACGGGGAGAGACACGGGGAGAGACACGGTGAGAGACACGGGGAGACACGGGGAGACACGGGGAGACATGGAGAGAGACACGGGGAGAGACACGGGAGAGACACGGGGAGAGACACGGGGAGAGACACGGAGACACGGGGAGACACGGAGAGACACGGGGAGACACGGGGAGACATGGAGAGACACGGGGAGAGACACGGGGAGAGACACGGGGAGAGACACGGGGAGAGACACGGAGACACGGGGAGACACGGAGAGACACGGGGAGAGACACGGGGAGACACGGGGAGACACGGGGAGACACGGGGAGACACGGGGAGAGACACGGGGAGACACACGGAGACACGGGGAGAGGCACGGAGACACACGGGGAGACACGGGGAGACACGGGGAGACACGGGGAGAGACACGGGGAGACACGGGGAGACACGGGGAGAGTTACAGCAGCGAGCACGCCGTGTTTGAGACGGTGAGACACACGGGGAGACACGGAGACACGGGGACACGGGGAGACACGGAGAGACACGGGGAGACACGGGGAGACACGGAGACACGGGGAGACACGGGGAGACACAGGGAGACACGGGGTGACGCGGGGAGAGTTACAGCAGCGAGCACGCCGTGTTTGAGACGGTGAGAGACACGGGGAGACACGGGGAGACACGGGGAGACACGGGGAGACACGGGGAGAGACACGGGGAGACACGGGGAGAGACACGGGGAGACACGGGGAGACACGGGGAGACACGGGGAGACACGGGGAGACACGGGGAGAGACACGGGGAGACACGGGGAGACACGGGGAGACACAGAGACACGGGGAGACACGGGGTGACACGGGGAGAGTTACAGCAGTGAGCACGCCGTGTTTGAGACAGTGAGACACGGGGAGACACGGGGAGACACGGGGAGACACGGGGAGACACGGGGAGACACGGGGAGACATGGAGAGACACGGGGAGACACGGGGAGACACGGGGAGACACGGGGAGAAACACGGGGAGACACGGAGAGACACGGAGAGACACGGGGAGAGACACGGGGAGAGACACGGGGAGAGACACGGGGAGACACGGGGAGACACGGGGGAGACACGGGGAGAGACACGGGGAGAGACACGGGGAGAGAGACACGGGGGAGACACGGGGGAGACACGGGGGAGACACGGGGAGACACGGGGAGACACGGGGAGAGACACGGGGAGACACGGAGAGACACGGGGAGAGACACGGGGAGAGACACGGGGGAGACACGGGGAGAGAGACACGGGGGAGACACGGAGAGACACGGGGAGAGACACGGGGAGACACGGAGAGACACGGAGAGACACGGAGACACGGGGAGAGACACGGGGAGACACGGGGGAGACACGGGGAGAGACACGGGGAGAGACACTGGGAGAGAGACACGGGAGAGACACGGGGGAGACACGGGGGAGACACGGGGAGACACGGAGACACAGGGAGAGACACGGGGAGAGACACTGGGAGAGAGACACGGGAGAGACACGGGGGAGACACGGGGGAGACACGGGGAGACACGGAGAGACACGGGGAGAGACACGGGGAGACATGGAGACACGGGGAGAGAGACACGGGGGAGACACGGAGAGACACGGGGAGAGACACGGGGAGAGACACGGGGGAGACACGGGGAGAGAGACACGGGGGAGACACGGAGAGACACGGAGAGACACGGAGAGACACGGAGACACGGGGAGAGACACGGGGAGACACGGGGGAGACACAGGGAGAGACACGGGGAGAGACACTGGGAGAGAGACACGGGAGAGACACGGGGGAGACACGGGGGAGACACGGGGAGACACGGAGAGACACGGGGAGAGACACGGGGAGAGAGACACGGGGAGAGACACGGGGAGAGACACGGGGGAGACACGGGGAGACACGGGGGAGACACGGGGAGAGACACGGGGAGAGACACTGGGAGAGAGACACGGGAGAGACACGGGGGAGACACGGGGGAGACACGGGGAGACACGGAGAGACACGGGGAGAGACACGGGGAGACACGGAGAGACACGGGGAGAGACACGGGGAGAGACACGGGGGAGACACGGGGAGAGAGACACGGGGGAGACACGGAGAGACACGGGGAGAGACACGGGGAGACACGGAGAGACACGGAGAGACACGGAGACACGGGGAGAGACACGGGGAGACACGGGGGAGACACGGGGAGAGACACGGGGAGAGACACTGGGAGAGAGACACGGGAGAGACACGGGGGAGACACGGGGGAGACACGGGGAGACACGGAGACACAGGGAGAGACACGGGGAGAGACACTGGGAGAGAGACACGGGAGAGACACGGGGGAGACACGGGGGAGACACGGGGAGACACGGAGAGACACGGGGAGAGACACGGGGAGACATGGAGACACGGGGAGAGAGACACGGGGGAGACACGGAGAGACACGGGGAGAGACACGGGGAGAGACACGGGGGAGACACGGGGAGAGAGACACGGGGGAGACACGGAGAGACACGGAGAGACACGGAGAGACACGGAGACACGGGGAGAGACACGGGGAGACACGGGGGAGACACGGGGAGAGACACTGGGAGAGAGACACGGGAGAGACACGGGGGAGACACGGGGGAGACACGGGGAGACACGGAGAGACACGGGGAGAGACACGGGGAGAGAGACACGGGGAGAGACACGGGGGAGACACGGGGAGAGAGACACGGGGAGAGAGACACGGGGAGAGCTACAGCAGTGAGCACGCCGTGTTTGAGACGGTGACACACGGTGAGACACGGGGGAGGAGGACAACTTTTTAAATTTCTCTTCTTGGCTGTGCCCCTCCCCCCCCCATGCCCCTCCCCCCTTGCCTCCCTCCCCCCATGCCCCTCCCCCCCCATGCCCCTCCCCCCCCCATTCCCCTCCCCCCCCCATGCCCCTCCCCGCCATGCCCCTCCCCCCTTGCCTCCCCCCCCCCTCCCCCCCATGCCCCTCCCCCATGCCCCCCCCCCCCCCCATGCCCCTCCCCCCAGGGTGCTCGCCATCCGTTTGCCCAGGCGCTGGGTAGGAACATTGCCAACCCGACTGCCATCCTCCTGTCATCCTCCAACATGCTGCGACACTTACAGTGAGTCTGTAGTGTATAGTGTAGTGTAGTAGTGTATAGTGTAGTGTAGTAGTGTAGTGTGTAGTAGTGTATAGTGTAGTGTATAGTGCCCAGGCGCTGGGTAGGAACATTGCCAACCCGACTGCCATCCTCCTGTCATCCTCCAACATGCTGCGACACTTACAGTGAGTCTGTAGTGTATAGTGTAGTGTATAATGTATAGTGTAGTAGTGTATAGTGTAGTGTATAGTGTAGTGTATAGTGCCCAGGCGCTGGGTAGGAACATTGCCAACCCGACTGCCATCCTCCTGTCATCCTCCAACATGCTGCGACACTTACAGTGAGTCTGTAGTGTATAGTGTAGTGTAGTAGTGTATAGAGTAGTAGTAGTAGTGTATAGTGTAGTAGTGTATAGTGTAGTGTATAGTGTAGTGTATAGTGTAGTGTATAGTGTAGTGTATAGTGTAGTGTATAGTGTAGTGTATAGTGTAGTGTATAGTGTAGTGTATAGTGTAGTAGTGTAGTGTATAGTGTAGTGTATAGTGTAGTAGTGTAGTAGTGTATAGTGTAGTGTATAGTGTAGTGTATAGTGTAGTGTATAGTGTAGTGTATAGTGTAGTAGTGTATAGTGTAGTGTATAGTGTAGTGTATAGTGTAGTGTATAGTGCCCAGGCGCTGGGTAGGAACATTGCCAACCCGACTGCCATCCTCCTGTCATCCTCCAACATGCTGCGACACTTACAGTGAGTCTGTAGTGTATAGTGTAGTGTAGTAGTGTAGTGTAGTAGTGTATAGTGTAGTGTATAGTGTAGTAGTGTATAGTGTAGTGTATAGTGTAGTAGTGTATAGTGTAGTGTATAGTGCCCAGGCGCTGGGTAGGAACATTGCCAACCCGACTGCCATCCTCCTGTCATCCTCCAACATGCTGCGACACTTACAGTGAGTCTGTAGTGTATAGTGTAGTGTAGTAGTGTAGTGTAGTAGTGTAGTAGTGTATAGTGTAGTAGTGTATAGTGTAGTGTATAGTGTAGTGTAGTAGTGTATAGTGTAGTGTATAGTGTAGTGTATAGTGTAGTAGTGTGTAGTGTAGTGTATAGTGTAGTGTATAGTGTAGTAGTGTATAGTGTAGTGTGTAGTGTAGTGTATAGTGTAGTGTATAGTGCCCAGGCGCTGGGTAGGAACATTGCCAACCCGACTGCCATCCTCCTGTCATCCTCCAACATGCTGCGACACTTACAGTGAGTCTGTAGTGTATAGTGTAGTGTAGTAGTGTAGTGTAGTAGTAGTGTATAGTGTAGTAGTGTATAGTGTAGTAGTGTATAGTGTAGTGTATAGTGTAGTGTATAGTGTAGTGTATAGTGTAGTGTATAGTGTAGTGTATAGTGTAGTGTATAGTGTAGTAGTGTATAGTGTAGTGTATAGTGTAGTGTATAGTGTAGTAGTGTAGTGTATAGTGTAGTGTATAGTGTAGTAGTGTAGTAGTGTATAGTGTAGTGTATAGTGTAGTGTATAGTGTAGTGTATAGTGTAGTGTATAGTGTAGTAGTGTATAGTGTAGTGTATAGTGTAGTGTATAGTGTAGTGTATAGTGCCCAGGCGCTGGGTAGGAACATTGCCAACCCGACTGCCATCCTCCTGTCATCCTCCAACATGCTGCGACACTTACAGTGAGTCTGTAGTGTATAGTGTAGTGTAGTAGTGTAGTGTAGTAGTGTATAGTGTAGTGTATAGTGTAGTAGTGTATAGTGTAGTGTATAGTGTAGTGTATAGTGTAGTGTATAGTGTAGTAGTGTATAGTGTAGTGTATAGTGTAGTGTATAGTGTAGTGTATAGTGTAGTGTATAGTGTAGTGTATAGTGTAGTGTAGTAGTGTATAGTGTAGTGTATAGTGTAGTGTATAGTGCCCAGGCGCTGGGTAGGAACATTGCCAACCCGACTGCCATCCTCCTGTCATCCTCCAACATGCTGCGACACTTACAGTGAGTCTGTAGTGTATAGTGTAGTGTATAGTGTAGTGTAGTGTATAGTGTAGTGTATAGTGTAGTAGTGTATAGTGTAGTGTATAGTGTAGTGTATAGTGTAGTGTATAGTGTAGTGTATAGTGTAGTGTATAGTGTAGTAGTGTATAGTGTAGTGTATAGTGTAGTAGTGTAGTGTATAGTGTAGTGTATAGTGTAGTAGTGTAGTAGTGTATAGTGTAGTGTATAGTGTAGTGTATAGTGTAGTGTATAGTGTAGTGTATAGTGTAGTAGTGTATAGTGTAGTGTATAGTGTAGTGTATAGTGTAGTGTATAGTGCCCAGGCGCTGGGTAGGAACATTGCCAACCCGACTGCCATCCTCCTGTCATCCTCCAACATGCTGCGACACTTACAGTGAGTCTGTAGTGTATAGTGTAGTGTAGTAGTGTAGTGTAGTAGTGTATAGTGTAGTGTATAGTGTAGTAGTGTATAGTGTAGTGTATAGTGTAGTAGTGTATAGTGTAGTGTATAGTGCCCAGGCGCTGGGTAGGAACATTGCCAACCCCACTGCCATCCTCCTGTCATCCTCCAACATGCTGCGACACTTACAGTGAGTCTGTAGTGTATAGTGTAGTGTATAGTGTAGTGTATAGTGTAGTGTATAGTGTAGTGTATAGTGCCCAGGCGCTGGGTAGGAACATTGCCAACCCGACTGCCATCCTCCTGTCATCCTCCAACATGCTGCGACACTTACAGTGAGTCTGTAGTGTATAGTGTAGTGTATAGTGTAGTGTATAGTGTAGTGTATAGTGTAGTAGTGTGTAGTGTAGTGTATAGTGTAGTAGTGTATAGTGTAGTAGTGTATAGTGTAGTGTATAGTGTAGTGTATAGTGTAGTGTAGTAGTAGTGTGTAGTGTAGTAGTGTATAGTGTAGTAGTGTATAGTGTAGTGTATAGTGTGTAGTGTAGTGTAGTGTATAGTGTAGTGTATAGTGTAGTAGTGTATAGTGTAGTAGTGTATAGTGTAGTGTATAGTGTAGTAGTGTATAGTGTAGTGTATAGTGTAGTGTATAGTGTAGTGTATAGTGTAGTGTATAGTGTAGTGTATAGTGTAGTGTAGTAGTGTATAGTGTAGTAGTGTATAGTGTAGTGTATAGTGTAGTGTATAGTGCCCAGGCGCTGGGTAGGAACATTGCCAACCCGACTGCCATCCTCCTGTCATCCTCCAACATGCTGCGACACTTACAGTGAGTCTGTAGTGTATAGTGTAGTGTATAGTGTAGTAGTAGTGTATAGTGTAGTGTATAGTGTAGTAGTGTATAGTGTAGTGTATAGTGTAGTAGTGTATAGTGTATAGTGTAGTGTAGTGTATAGTGTAGTGTATAGTGCCCAGGCGCTGGGTAGGAACATTGCCAACCCGACTGCCATCCTCCTGTCATCCTCCAACATGCTGCGACACTTACAGTGAGTCTGTAGTGTATAGTGTAGTGTAGTAGTGTATAGTGTAGTGTAGTAGTGTATAGTGTAGTATATAGTGTAGTGTGTAGTGTAGTGTGTAGTGTAGTGTAGTAGTGTATAGTGTAGTGTATAGTGTAGTGTATAGTGTAGTGTATAGTGTAGTAGTGTATAGTGTAGTGTATAGTGTAGTAGTGTATAGTGTAGTAGTGTATAGTGTAGTGTATAGTGTAGTGTATAGTGTAGTGTATAGTGTAGTGTATAGTGCCCAGGCGCTGGGTAGGAACATTGCCAACCCCACTGCCATCCTCCTGTCATCCTCCAACATGCTGCGACACTTACAGTGAGTCTGTAGTGTATAGTGTAGTGTATAGTGTAGTAGTGTAGTAGTGTATAGTGTAGTAGTGTATGGTGTAGTGTATAGTGTAGTGTATAGTGCCCAGGCGCTGGGTAGGAACATTGCCAACCCGACTGCCATCCTCCTGTCATCCTCCAACATGCTGCGACACTTACAGTGAGTCTGTAGTGTATAGTGTAGTGTATAGTGTAGTGTGTAGTGTATAGTGTAGTGTATAGTGTATAGTGTAGTAGTGTAGTAGTGTATAGTGTAGTAGTGTATGGTGTAGTGTATAGTGTAGTGTAGTAGTGTATAGTGTAGTGTATAGTGTAGTGTATAGTGTAGTAGTGTATAGAGTAGTAGTAGTAGTGTATAGTGTAGTAGTGTATAGTGTAGTGTATAGTGCCCAGGCGCTGGGTAGGAACATTGCCAACCCGACTGCCATCCTCCTGTCATCCTCCAACATGCTGCGACACTTACAGTGAGTCTGTAGTGTATAGTGTAGTGTATAGTGTAGTGTAGTAGTGTATAGTGTAGTAGTGTATAGTGTAGTAGTGTATAGTGTAGTGTATAGTGTAGTAGTGTATAGTGTAGTAGTGTATAGTGTAGTAGTGTATAGTGTAGTGTATAGTGCCCAGGCGCTGGGTAGGAACATTGCCAACCCGACTGCCATCCTCCTGTCATCCTCCAACATGCTGCGACACTTACAGTGAGTCTGTAGTGTATAGTGTAGTGTAGTAGTGTATAGTGTAGTGTAGTAGTGTATAGTGTAGTGTAGTAGTGTATAGTGTAGTGTATAGTGTAGTAGTGTATAGTGTAGTGTATAGTGTAGTAGTGTATAGTGTAGTAGTGTATAGTGTAGTGTATAGTGTAGTGTAGTAGTGTATAGTGTAGTAGTGTATAGTGTAGTGTATAGTGTAGTGTATAGTGTAGTAGTGTATAGTGTAGTGTGTAGTGTAGTGTATAGTGTAGTGTATAGTGTAGTAGTGTATAGTGTAGTAGTGTATAGTGTAGTGTATAGTGTAGTGTATAGTGTAGTGTATAGTGTAGTAGTAGTGTATAGTGTAGTAGTAGTGTATAGTGTAGTGTATAGTGTAGTGTATAGTGTAGTGTATAGTGTAGTGTATAGTGTAGTGTGGTAGTGTATAGTGTAGTATAGTAGTGTATAGTGTAGTGTAGTGTATATTGTAGTGTATAGTGTAGTAGTGTATAGTGTAGTGTATAGTGTAGTGTAGTAGTGTAGTGTAGTAGTGTATAGTGTAGTGTAGTGTATATTGTAGTGTATAGTGTAGTGTATAGTGTAGTGTAGTAGTGTATAGTGTAGTGTTGTGTATAGTGTAGTGTATAGTGTAGTAGTGTAGTGTATAGTGTAGTGTATAGTGTAGTGTATAGTGCCCAGGCGCTGGGTAGGAACATTGCCAACCCCACTGCCATCCTCCTGTCATCCTCCAACATGCTGCGACACTTACAGTGAGTCTGTAGTGTATAGTGTAGTGTAGTAGTGTAGTGTATAGTGTAGTGTATAGTGTAGTGTAGTAGTGTATAGTGTAGTGTATAGTGTAGTGTGTAGTGTAGTGTGTAGTGTAGTGTAGTAGTGTATAGTGTATAGTGTAGTGTATAGTGTAGTGTATAGTGTAGTGTATAGTGTAGTGTATAGTGTAGTGTATAGTGTAGTGTATAGTGTAGTGTATAGTGTAGTAGTAGTGTATAGTGTAGTGTATAGTGTAGTAGTGTATAGTGTAGTAGTGTATAGTGTAGTGTATAGTGTAGTGTATAGTGTAGTGTATAGTGTAGTGTATAGTGTAGTGTGGTAGTGTATAGTGTAGTGTAGTAGTGTATAGTGTAGTGTAGTGTATATTGTAGTGTATAGTGTAGTGTATAGTGTAGTGTATAGTGTAGTGTATAGTGTAGTGTATAGTGTAGTAGTGTATAGTGTAGTGTATAGTGTAGTGTATAGTGTGTAGTGTATAGTGTAGTGTATAGTGTAGTAGTGTATAGTGTAGTGTATAGTGTAGTAGTGTATAGTGTAGTGTATAGTGTAGTGTATAGTGCCCAGGCGCTGGGTAGGAACATTGCCAACCCCACTGCCATCCTCCTGTCATCCTCCAACATGCTGCGACACTTACAGTGAGTCTGTAGTGTATAGTGTAGTAGTGTATAGTGTAGTGTATAGTGTAGTGTATAGTGTAGTAGTGTATAGTGTAGTAGTGTATAGTGTAGTGTATAGTGTAGTGTATAGTGTAGTAGTGTATAGTGTAGTAGTAGTGTATAGTGTAGTAGTGTATAGTGTAGTGTATAGTGTAGTAGTGTATAGTGTAGTGTATAGTGTAGTGTAGTAGTGTATAGTGTAGTGTATAGTGTAGTAGTGTATAGTGTAGTGTATAGTGTAGTGTATAGTGTAGTAGTGTATAGTGTAGTGTAGTAGTGTATAGTGTAGTGTAGTAGTGTATAGTGTAGTGTATAGTGTAGTAGTGTATAGTGTAGTGTATAGTGTAGTGTATAGTGTATTAGTGTATAGTGTAGTGTAGTAGTGTATAGTGTAGTAGTGTAGTGTAGTAGTAGTGTATAGTGTAGTGTATAGTGTAGTGTATAGTGTAGTGTATAGTGTAGTGTAGTAGTGTATAGTGTAGTGTATAGTGTAGTAGTAGTGTATAGTGTAGTGTATAGTGTAGTAGTGTATAGTGTAGTGTATAGTGTAGTGTATAGTGTAGTGTATAGTGTAGTAGTGTATAGTGTAGTGTATAGTGTAGTGTATAGTGTAGTGTAGTAGTGTATAGTGTAGTGTAGTAGTGTATAGTGTATAGTGTAGTAGTATATAGTGTAGTGTATAGTGTAGTGTATAGTGTAGTAGTGTATAGTGTAGTGTATAGTGTAGTAGTGTATAGTGTAGTAGTGTATAGTGTAGTAGTGTATAGTGTAGTAGTGTATAGTGTAGTAGTGTATAGTGTATAGTGTAGTAGTGTATAGTGTAGTAGTGTATAGTGTAGTAGTGTATAGTGTAGTAGTGTATAGTGTAGTAGTGTATAGTGTAGTAGTGTATAGTGTAGTAGTGTATAGTGTAGTAGTGTATAGTGTAGTGGTGTATAGTGTAGTGTATAGTGTAGTGTAGTAGTGTATAGTGTAGTGTATAGTGTAGTGTATAGTGTAGTGTAGTAGTGTAGTAGTGTATAGTGTAGTGTATAGTGTAGTGTATAGTGTAGTGTATAGTGTAGTAGTGTATAGTGTAGTGTATAGTGTAGTAGTAGTGTATAGTGTAGTGTATAGTGCCCAGGCGCTGGGTAGGAACATTGCCAACCCCACTGCCATCCTCCTGTCATCCTCCAACATGCTGCGACACTTACAGTGAGTCTGTAGTGTATAGTGTAGTGTAGTAGTGTATAGTGTAGTGTATAGTGTAGTGTATAGTGTAGTGTATAGTGTAGTGTATAGTGTAGTGTATAGTGTAGTAGTGTATAGTGTAGTAGTGTATAGTGTAGTGTATAGTGTAGTAGTGTATAGTGTAGTAGTGTATAGTGTAGTAGTGTATAGTGTAGTAGTGTATAGTGTAGTAGTGTATAGTGTAGTGTATAGTGTAGTGTATAGTGTAGTGTAGTAGTGTATAGTGTAGTGTAGTAGTGTAGTGTAGTAGTGTATAGTGTAGTAGTGTATAGTGTAGTGTATAGTGTAGTAGTGTATAGTGTAGTAGTGTATAGTGTAGTAGTGTAGTAGTGTATAGTGTAGTGTAGTATGTAATGTGTACTGTGTGTGTGTGTTTGTGTCCCAGTATGGAGTACCACGCTAACATGATCTATGATGCGGTACGCAAGGTCATCAAGACAGGCAAGGTGAGTCGCTCAACCACCCACCCACTCACCCACCCACCCACTCACCCACCCACTCACCCACCCACTCACTCACTCACCCACCCACTCACTCACCCACTCACCCACCCACTCACCCACTCACCCACCCACTCACCCACCCACTCACCCACCCACCCACTCACTCACTCACCCACGCACTCACTCACCCACTCACTCACTCACCCACCCACCCACTCACCCACCCACTCACCCACCCACTCACCCACTCACCCACCCACTCACTCACCCACTCACCCACCCATTCACTCACCCACTCACCCACCCATTCACTCACCCACTCACCCACTCACTTACCCACCCACTCACTCACCCACCCACTTACCCACTCACCCACTCACTCACCCACTCACTCACTCACCCACCCACCCACTCACCCACTCACCCACTCACTCACTCACTCACCCACCCACTCACTCACTCACCCACTCACTCATCCACTCACTCACTCACCCACCCACCCACCCACTCACTCACTCACTCACCCACCCACTCACTCACTCACTCAGCCACTCACTCAACCACTCACTCACTCACCCACTCACTCACCCACTCACCCACCCACTCACTCACTCAGCCACTCACTCAACCACTCACTCACCCACTCACTCACTCACCCACTCACTCACTCACTCAGCCACTCACTCACTCAACCACTCACTCACCCACTCACTCAACCACTCACTCACCCACCCACTCACTCAACCACTCACTCACCCACTCACTCACTCGCCCACTTACCCACTCACCCACTGACTCACTCACCCACCCACTTACCCACTCACCCACCCACTCACCCACCCACTCACTCACCCACTCACCCACTCACTCACTCGCCCACTTACCCACCCACTCACTCACCCACTCACTCACTCACTCACCCACCCACTCACTCACTCACCCACTCACTCACCCACCCACCCACTCACTCACCCACCCACTCACTCACTCACTCACCCACCCACTCACTCACTCATTCACTCACTCACTCACCCACCCACTCACTCACTCACCCACTCACTCACCCACCCACCCACTCACTCACTCACTCACCCACCCACTCACTCACTCAGCCACTCAGTCAACCACTCAACCACTCACTCACCCACTCACTCACTCACTCACCCACTCACTCACCCACCCACTCACCCACCCACTCACTCACCCACCCACCCAGTCAGCCACTAACTCAGCCACTCACTCAACCACTCAACCACTCACTCACCCACTCACTCACTCACTTACCCACTCACTCACTCACTCAGCCACTCACTCAGCCACTCACGCAACCACTCACTCACCCACTCACTCACCCACTCACTCACTCACTCATCCACTCACTCACTCAACCACTCACTCACCCACTCACTCAACCACTCACTCACCCACCCACTCACTCACCCACTCACTCACTCACCCACTCACCCACTCACTCACTCACTCACCCACTCACTCACTCACTCACCCACCCACTCACTCACTCACCCACTCACTCACCCACCCACCCACCCACTCACTCACTCACTCACCCACCCACTCACTCACTCACTCACCCACCCACTCACTCACTCACTCACCCACCCACTCACTCACTCACCCACTCACTCACCCACCCACCCACCCACTCACTCACTCACTCACCCACCCACTCACTCAATAAGCCACTCAACCAAGCACTCAACCACTCACTCACCCACTCACTCACTCACCCACCCACTCACTCACTCACCCACTCACTCATCCACTCACTCACTCACTCACCCACCCACCCACTCACTCACTCACTCACCCACCCACTCACTCACTCACTCAGCCACTCACTCAACCACTCACTCACTCACTCACCCACTCACTCACCCACTCACCCACCCACTCACTCACTCAGCCACTCACTCACTCAGCCACTCACTCAACCACTCACTCACCCACTCACCCACCCATTCACTCATCCACTCACCCACCCATTCACTCACCCACTCACCCACTCACTTACCCACCCACTCACTCACCCACCCACTTACCCACTCACCCACTCACTCACCCACTCACTCACTCACCCACCCACCCACTCACCCACTCACCCACTCACTCACTCACCCACCCACTCACTCACTCACCCACTCACTCATCCACTCACTCACTCACCCACCCACCCACCCACTCACTCACTCACTCACCCACCCACTCACTCACTCAGCCACTCACTCAACCACTCACTCACTCACCCACTCACTCACCCACTCACCCACCCACTCACTCACTCAGCCACTCACTCAACCACTCACTCACCCACTCACTCACTCACCCACTCACTCACTCACTCAGCCACTCACTCACTCAACCACTCACTCACCCACTCACTCAACCACTCACTCACCCACCCACTCACTCAACCACTCACTCACCCACTCACTCACTCGCCCACTTACCCACTCACCCACCTACTGACTCACTCACCCACCCACTTACCCACTCACCCACCCACTCACCCACCCACTCACTCACCCACTCACCCACTCACTCACTCGCCCACTTACCCACCCACTCACTCACCCACTCACTCACTCACTCACCCACTCACTCACTCACTCACCCACCCACTCACTCACTCACCCACTCACTCACCCACCCACCCACTCACTCACTCACCCACCCACTCACTCACTCACTCACCCACCCACTCACTCATTCACTCACTCACTCACCCACCCACTCACTCACTCACCCACTCACTCACCCACCCACCCACTCACTCACTCACTCACCCACCCACTCACTCACTCAGCCACTCAGTCAACCACTCAACCACTCACTCACCCACTCACTCACTCACTCACCCACTCACTCACCCACCCACTCACCCACCCACTCACTCACCCACCCACCCACTCAGCCACTCACTCAGCCACTCACTCAACCACTCAACCACTCACTCACCCACTCACTCACTCACTTACCCACCCACTCACTCACTCACTCAGCCACTCACTCAGCCACTCACTCAACCACTCACTCACCCACTCACTCACCCACTCACTCACTCACTCATCCACTCACTCACTCAACCACTCACTCACCCACTCACTCAACCACTCACTCACCCACCCACTCACTCACCCACTCACTCACTCACTCACCCACTCACCCACTCACTCACTCACTCACCCACTCACTCACTCACCCACCCACTCACTCACTCACCCACTCACTCACCCACCCACCCACTCACTCACTCACCCACCCACTCACTCACTCACCCACCCACTCACTCACTCACTCACCCACCCACTCACTCACTCACCCACTCACTCACCCACCCACCCACTCACTCACTCACCCACCCACTCACTCAATAAGCCACTCAACCAAGCACTCAACCACTCACTCACCCACTCACTCACTCACTCACCCACCCACTCACTCACTCACCCACTCACTCATCCACTCACTCACTCACCCACCCACCCACCCACTCACTCACTCACCCACTCACCCACTCACTCACTCAGCCACTCACTCACTCAGCCACTCACTCAACCACTCACTCACCCACTCACTCACTCACTCACCCACTCACTTACTCACTCAGCCACTCACTCACTCAACCACTCACTCACCCACTCACTCAACCACTCACTCACCCACCCACTCACTCAACCACTCACTCACCCACTCACTCACTCGCCCACTTACCCACTCACCCACCTACTGACTCACTCACCCACCCACTTACCCACTCACTCACCCACTCACCCACCCACTCACCCACCCACTCACTCACCCACTCACCCACTCACTCACTCGCCCATTTACCCAACCACTCACTCACCCACTCACTCACTCACTCACCCACTCACTCACTCACTCACCCACTCACTCACCCACCCACTCACTCACCCACTCACTCACCCACCCACCCACTCACTCACTCACTCACCCACCCACTCACTCACTCACTCACCCACCCACTCACTCACTCACTCATTCACTCACTCACTCACTCACTCACCCACCCACTCACTCACTCACCCACTCACTCACCCACCCACCCACCCACTCACTCACTCACCCACCCACTCACTCACTCAGCCACTCAGTCAACCACTCAACCACTCACTCACCCACTCACTCACTCACTCACCCACTCACTCACCCACCCACTCACCCACCCACTCACCCACCCACCCACTCACTCACCCACCCACCCACTCACTCACTCAGCCACTCACTCAACCACTCAACCACTCACTCACCCACTCACTCACTCACCCACCCACTCACTCACTCACTCAGCCACTCACTCAGCCACTCACTCAACCACTCACTCACCCACTCACTCAACCACTCACTCACCCACCCACTCACTCACCCACTCACTCACTCACCCACTCACTCACTCACTCACCCACTCACTCACTCACTCACCCACCCACTCACTCACTCACCCACTCACTCACCCACCCACCCACTCACTCACTCACCCACCCACTCACTCACTCACTCACCCACCCACTCACTCACTCACTCACCCACCCACTCACTCACTCACTCACCCACTCACTCACCCACCCACCCACTCACTCACTCACTCACCCACCCACTCACTCACTCAGCCACTCACTCAACCACTCAACCACTCACTCACTCGCTCACCCACTCACTCACCCACCCACTCACTCACTCACTCACCCACCCACTCACTCACTCACTCAACCACTCACTCACCCACTCACTCACTCACCCACTCACTCACTCACTCAGCCACTCACTCACTCAACCACTGACTCACCCACTCACTCAACCACTCACTCACCCACCCACTCACTCACCCACTCACTCACTCACCCACTCACCCACTCACTCACTCACTCACCCACTCACTCACTCACTCACCCACCCACCCACCCACTCACTCACTCACCCACTCACTCACCCACCCACCCACTCACTCACTCACCCACCCA